GAGCACAACGGGATTAAATAATCCAGTCTTTGCACAACAAATGAACAGGTAATGTTCAGGTTGTTCTGCAGCTTTTATTAACTGGTATCAATCAAAATAAAGCTTCTGGATTTGGCTCACCAAGCACAAGCCACAGGACGTCCTTGAGCCTGAGAGTGACAAGCTCCTGCTGAAGTCTTATCACACCAACATGGGAGGGGGCCATTGAGAACAACTGAGCGGAACAGAATGGGTTTCATCAGACACTCCGCTCTAGGTGTGACCCAGACGTCACTGTCCACCAGTTATTTTCTGTCCCATATTACAGATGCTGTCTTGGCTTCATGAAATGCTGCTCTCAGACTACTAGAGCAAGCATGGAAATTTGTCCAAATGCCCTGATTTCATGTACTTCTTCTTCTTTTTTTTTTTTCATTTCAAAGGTAAGAAAAGAAACTCCATATGTCCTCCTAAGTAGCTGACAGAAATCTGCTAGAAAATTCAATGCAAATATGCTTCAGTGCTCATGAAACATAAGGCACTCGGCAATGCCTCTACAACTCGTCAAAATACATTCTCCACGAACAGACTCCAGTCCCTGAAAAGTGACTGGATGAAAAGGATGGCACAGGACTGGAAGGAAATTGGAGCAGGAACCTAATAAATTAGCATCTGAAATAAACTGAAACAATTACACTTGGACAGAGGAGGTTAAGAAACATCTGGATTCTTAAATCACCTTGGTTTTGTAGGTCAAGGTCATCGATTAGAGAAATACAATTTTCTTTTTCAAGTGCTGACAATAGAAACAAAGTTTTAAAAATGTGCTTTTGCAGTTTAGTTCTAGAATTCAAGCCTCTGTCTGTATGGTTTCCCTGAGGTCATTTTGTTGTTCTCCCTGGGTGAGACTTGTTGTCTGAAGTAAGTCACGTGGGGGAGGCCACTTCAGGACCAGGGGAGGGTGAGAGTGGAGGAAATGCTGGGGCCATTCACACCTTCTTCACACCTGCCCAGGTAGGTGTAGGGCAGGCAGGGATTCTCTTCCTGGCAGGGAGGTGATCCCAGTCATCAATCTTGTTTGTTATTTTAATACAAAAGTATGTCCCTCAGGAAAATACTTCCTGATAGCTTATCAGAAGCGTCTCCCCACTGGTGGGGGCAAGTGGGTGCCACCAAGGAAGGCTGTCTGTTAGAAAGCCATCTTCCAAATTTACTTGGAAAAGAGGCACAGGGCAGCTAGGTAATCTTGTCAATGGAAGGATCTCCCTGTTCAGCTTGAAACCTTTTCAGGTGCTTCCCCTCTTGTCCAGCATAAAATCAGAAATTCTCTGTGTGGCTCACACAGTCCTGATTGCTCAAACTCTGCTCTCTTATTTCTCTGGCCACTCTAGCTCTTTAAATTGTTGCTTGAATTTGTCAAGGTCATTTCCACCTTCAGACCTAGCATACATTCCTGCTACTGAAAAGTCCTTCCCATAGATTTTTGCCTGACTTCCCTTGTCTTTCAGGTCTCTGTCCAAAAGACACTTGGTCTGCAAGGTCTGGGCCTCCCTGTACTCCTCACTGTCCACTTCTAGCACTTGCCACCATTCAGCTGGCAGCTACTGGACAACTTCCCCCAAGTGTTTTTGAATAATTCTTAACTGTCTCCTCTAACAGAAGATGAATTCCACAAGAGTAAGGAAATTTCCTCTCTTATCCCTACTGTATGCAGCTACTAGAATAGTTCAACAGTAACTTGTTGAATAAATGGCAAATGAACAGAGGGATTCAAAGCCCAGTGCTTGTGCCACACAAGGGAAGCTGAAAGCCATTGTAATGGTCACCTGCTGGATTGCTGGGTCTGCAAAGCAGGAAGAGCCAGGCACTTTTTCATTGGGATGAAAATTAAAGATATTCTCTTCTCAGTGATATCCCCTTCTCCCCAAAATATCAAGTATTTTTTTTTAATCCCAACACCATTTATTAAGAAGCACTCTCTTCCTGACCAGGGGTCAAAGGTGTGTTGGAGTCATGAGATAAATGCGAGTTATTTTAATACATCTAGGCTGTACTTCTGAACTATTCTGTTACATCTTGTATGACTATTTCACAAATTTAACTACTGTGTCTTTAAAACAATCAAATTTCTTAATAGATTGGTCCACTTCATTGCTCTTATTTTCTAAACATTTCCAAGCGACTCTTGATTTTAACCTATCAGATGATTTAAAACTCTGTTATTATCTCTTTAATCACATTTTCAAATGTTAGTGACATATCATCTGTTTACAAAATTACCTAATTTCAAAAGACCGTTTCACACCTTGATGAGTATACATGCCTCACTCACCTACCACCAAAACTCCAGCGTCACATCAGATGGCTTTTTGAATCATCTTAAAAAGTTGTATTTTTTTTTTAAGAGTCTAGTTTGGATTTTGATTTGAGTTACATTAGATTTCTGCCCAAAGAATTCATCTTCAACTATCTTTTCTACCAACAAATTGCTAGGTTTCTTGGAGACCCATAGTTTTCTTGTTAAGTGTTAACTTTACATTTTTGTTTCTGTTATGGATGGAATTAGTTTTCATTTCACTCATCCCTGACTTGAGGTTCATCTGCAGATTTTATTTTATGGCAAATTAATAGTTAAACTAGAAATTACAGAAAGGGGAAGTTCTAATGTAAAGCCCAGGACCACTTGAACTGTGCTGGAAAATTAAGCAGAATGATGTAAATTGCTTTACTTTTCCCTCCTCCCCATTCTCACACTTCTTGAATCTATTTTATTCAAACATTCCACATGGGTCTTCTATATCAGTATCTTCTTCATCACAAACCTCCTTTCCAGTCTTCTACCCATTTTCCAGACACATCCTGTTCACTCCCAGCTGAGCTGTTTGATAAGCTGCAATTTTTTTAGATTTGTAAATGACGTTGCCTGTGGACACTATCCCAGTCCCACATAAATAGTTCATAGATATTTACACCATTCTGTAGGTTGCTTTTTCATTTTTTTTTTCAGTGAAGAAGCTTTTTAGTTTGATGTTTCCCACTTTAGCTCTTTTTACTTGTGCTTTTGGTGTCATATCAAAAAATTCACTGCCAAGACTGTCAAGGGAGTTTCTTTTAGTTGTTTTAGAAAGAGTTTCTTTAGGAGTTTCAGGTTTTATTTGCAAGTCTTTAATCCATTTTGAGTTACTTTTTTAATGAGTAGTGTAGATAGAGGTTCAATACATCTATTGTAGAAACTATCTTTTATCCATTGAGTATTCTTGACTCCCTTATCAAATCTTAGTTGGTTATATATGTAAGGGCTTATTTCTGGGCACTTGAATTCTGTTTCCTTAAACTATGTGTTTATGCCAGAACCATACTGGTTGGCTTACTTCAGCTTGGTAATATAGTTTAAAATCAGGAAGTGTAATGCTGTCAGCTTTATTCTTTTTCTCAGGATTTTTCTGTTTCCATACAATTTTTAGGATTTTTTGTCTATTTCTGTGAAAATGGCCCTGTAATGTTGATAGGGATTAAATTAAATCCATAGATGGCTATGGTTAGTATGGACACCTTAACACATTAATTTTTATGATCTATGAGCGTGGGATATCTTTCCATTTGTTTGCTTCTCCAATTTTTTTTTCATTAAAGTCTTGTAATTTTCAGTGTACCAATACTTCACCTCCTTGGCTAAATTTATTCTTGAGTATTTTATTGTTTTTGATACTATTGGGAATGCTTTACTTGTTTCTTTTTCAGATATTTCATTGTTAATGTATAGAAATGGGACAGATTAATATATGTGGATTTTGGATCCTGCAACTTTACTGAATTTGTTAAATAGTTCTAAGTATTTTATGGATATAAGATTCTTCAGGATTTTCTCTGTATAAGATTATAACATCCTTAAAAGAATACAGATTTATCTGTTCCTTTCCAATTGGAATGCCTTTTGTTTCTTTTCCTTGCCTGATTGGTCTGGCTAGACCTTCTAGTATTACATTGAATAGGAATTACAAGATTGGGTATTCTTGTCTTATTCTTGATATAAGAGGGTAACTTTCAACCTTTTACACTGAAAATGATGTTAGCTGTGGGCTTGCTTTCTATGGCCTTTATTAAATCGAGATGTGTCTCTTCTATACCAAATTTATTTGAATCTTAAATAGTATTGAATTTTTGTCATACGCTTTTTCTGCAACTATGAGAAAATCTTATGATTTTAATTTTTATTTTATTATTGTAGAGTACCACATCTAATGATTTGTGTGCATTGAAATGTACTTGCATCCCAGGGAGATATCCTATTTGGTTGTGATATCTGATCCTTTTAGAATATGGCTGAATTTGGTTTTGGTTTGCTAATATTTTCTTGAGACTATTTGTACCTATATTTGTCAGGGATGTTGGGTTGTAGTTTGCATTGCAAAATGTAGTTTGCTAGTTTTTATTTAGAGTTTTGGCATTTGTGTTTGTAGGTGAAACTGGTACATGCTTTTATATTTCTTTCTTTTACTATCTTGATATATATTTTCTCTACCCAGAAATTATTTTCAAGAACACAATTCTGTTTTTTTCTGCTGAGATTTAGACACACAGTGTCTTCTTTACCTTCTCCCCTCTTTTCTCTCATAACTCCATTTTACCAGAGCATCTTATCTTTGTGGAGCAAAACCTTTGACCCAGTGCTTTACATTCTAGATCATTCTACTTACAATCTACTTACAATCTTCTAGAGCAACTCTGCCTTTCTTTCTTCAAACCATCTCTGTCTTGTGTCCCATTCTACTGCCTTGCTGAGGTAGCATCGGTTTTTCAGATAACACCTGTGTTTTATGGAGACCTTAAGGAAACTTTGCATTGGTAATCTTGACAACCTTTCTAAGGTACCTGGAAAAGAGGTTCTGCTGTAGTCTCAGAAGCCCAGTAAAGAACCTAGATCTGCCTTCTCTGCCAGCAGATCCTACACACACACACAGGACACAGTTATGGGAATGTATGATGCCAAGGACAACATGAGTGAAATAAAACTTCCTCACCTGTTCAAGCACTGTGGATAAGAGCTGTAGCTCTAAGTGGACAGCTAAAGCTTCTCTCTTTTCCTAGGGCAGCAGTTAAATAGAAAGTTAAAAAAAAGGTGTTAATTCCAGCAGGCATAAGGCCCATTAAGATCAGTATAGCTTGTCAGATACAAGTCAGTATCTAACATGACATTCACTTGGGTACCAAGTCAGGAAGACATTCTTCTTGAACAAAATGCTACCTGAGACAAAAGACAGCAAATCCTCATTGAATGGTAAGTTTGTTTTACCAGTGTGAGACACACACATGGTTAACAATAGTTGACTTTAAGTCAACACTGTGACTTTTTTTTCATAAACACATTAAACTTAAAAAACCCAAGGCTCTGGATTTTCTCAGACAACAAGTCAGTAAATCTGTTTCCTTGACCATTGACCTGTTGTGTTTCTATGAGGTGTGATGTCAATAAGTAGGGAATAGCCATAGGAAGATGCACAAATTAATTTCCTCTTAGAGGAAAAAGACATTTATTAGTTTAAAGATGTCTTGGCACTTTGATGGGAATTATTCTGTGAAACTATGAATATGGATGCCATCTGGTGGTCTGTGACTCCCTTATGAAAATAAAGCACAATGACTCAGCTACTTGTGATAATAATTAATAAACAAAGGCATTGAAATAAAATGCCTTTGAAGATGTTAGATGTACAAATTTGATTATAAAGCAAGAATTTACTAATTTGGATCTTCAGCAAATGGTCATATTCCAAAAGCTTGATGCATAGGATGTCTTTTGTCACATAAACAATATCATAAATGGTATTTATACAGGAAGTGAAAACTTATTTAATGCATTAATTATCTGGATTAAGTCCATGTAGTACTATGGGACTTCAGAGCCATAAGGAACCAGGGAGATCAGTGCTCCATGCCTGGAACGACTAGGGTGTTTATGGGAGATTCAGCTCTGAATATTGTCTTCAAACTTAGGAGTTTTGGTCCTTCTTTGCATTCCTCTTTTGGGAATGCGGCCCCTGCATGCCTGGAGACAAGTGGTGCTAAGAACCACTTCAGCCAGGACTCTCTTCTGGAAGCACTGGCATGCCCGCTGGCCAGTCAGGTGTGATGGACCAAAACTGACTTAAAAAAGAATGAACATGACCCTTTGGGAATCTAGTTCTCCAAGGGTTTCTGGGCTGGTCCCCAACTCTATAAAACTTATTCCTCAGCTAAAACCCAGATAACATTGAGTGACCATCCTTGCATCACGATGGGCCTCTGACACCCAGCCAATGAGCCAACTGTAGGGACAAGCCTGCTTACAGAAAATGACTTCAACCACAGGAAAACAGGAGAAAACCTGTTTTTAAAATGGTTCTTCTGCTGCTGGGCTGGATCCCAAATCTCCAATTCCTAGGTGGGTTGTCACACTAAGGACACTGAACTGCTGCTGATGTAATTGAATCTGGGAACACGCATCGTCTGCTGCTCTGGCTCCTGAGACCAGGGCCACTGGTGGAGGCAGGAGGGACGGGGAGTCTGAATAAAGTGCTCACTCTCTCTTCACACATCTATACACATACATACATATATGCACACACACATACACACAAAGACTTCTCCTGGAAAATCAAGGCAATTAGTAGCCAATGAAACATTTGGATTTCCTTACTGCTTAATTTCAATACCACACTGAGTATTTGTGAGCTGGTGATTCCATATTTCTCCTGTTCAGTTACTGTCTTAGCCTGGTTTTCCAGAAGCAAACACCAAAACAAAGACTGAGTGCATGTAGTTTGGGAAGTGACCCCAGGAAAGAATGGTGGAGTAGTGGGGGAGAGAGCTAGTGAAAACTGCCTTATGAAGCAGTTCATCACTGTGGATGCCTAGAGCTAGAGAACTTGGGGAGTCAGTGGGTGGCTCATATCCTAGAATCACCAGCCCAGTGGAGTCAAAGGAGTGGGAGAGTCACATGCTTCCTTCCCATCAGTTACTGGTTGGGGCTGACCTCAGGAGAGTTGTGTCTTTTACCTGCAGGCTGCCTTCTACATAGGAAGAGGAACTCCTGTGGGGCAAGTGCTCATCGGCAGCAGGACTTTTGGCCAGTTTGCATCACCCAGGTTAAGAGATAAAAGTGAGCACTGCAGCTTCTGCAATCATTACCTTAGCCAAGATCTATTCTTCAACTATTCTTTCTGTGCAGACACACAAAACACACACATACACAGGTTGACTGGATCATGGCAGGAGTCATAGTTATTTTGATCCTGAAGATGGGAGCCTCAGGGTCTGATGTAGCATTTCCCCCACTAACATTTGCACAAACCAAAGCACCAAATGTGGCTACAGACTTCCAGCTCCACATTGCAAGTGCTGACTGGAAACAGGCACTGTGTGTTCTTCCAGTGCTAGCAGCTGGGTGCGATTTCATGGCAGCAAAGTTTATTACTGTTGAGATTGTTAAAAGGGATATGATAATTAATATTTTCTGGATAACCCTGGTAACCCTATGCCTCTTAATTCAATCCTCACAACTCTGGAAGGGGGTAGGATTACTCCCATTTCACAGATGAGGCCAAGGTGTGTTTATTCAACCATCAAAAAGGGATCTGGTTTGGGTCCCAGAGACCAAGTTCAAAACAGGATCAACATGGCCCTGTTGACACGCTGGAGCAAGCTTGGGGAGTGCAGGTAACCCTAACTGCACCGGAGGGGTCATGAAGGGCCTGAAGGGACAGAGAAGGCGGGCAGGAGGTGGGCCAAGCAGGCAAGATGGCACTGGCTTGTCGAAGTAGTCACCATGAATTTAGCAGAATGGTTGTATTTCAAACTCAGTCTAGTCCTGAAGCACTATAACCTTTTGCTCATAAATAAAATTCAATAAGTAAACCTGTATTTCTGTTTTCTTTTAGTCAAACAAGGGTTGATGACAAAAGGTAGCCTGAGATTGTTGGGGAAAACATACTATGTTTTTGTTGGTTCTGTGGAATGTTATGTGTAGCAAGTGATATGTGGCTGACTATTTAATTCACTGATTCCTGGTTGGCTAGAGGAAATACTAAAACTTTGAGAAGCTGACAAATTTGAGAACTTGGATAAAAACAACTCTCCTGCTTTCCTGCTCAGCAAGGGCTCTGGGCAGGAGTGGGGATTTGTCCCCCACTGGCTTCTCTTCTCTCTGTTCACATGCTGCCTGGGAGAGCACAGTGCAGACTGGTGGCTGAGCCGGCAGCCCGAGGAAAGGTGGGAGCGCATAACTCATCACAGTCTGGCACACTGCTGGTACAGCGTGAGTTTTGGAGCCTTGGGACCATCAGGCAGCAAAAACAGAAGGATGCAGTCATTATAAGAAATACTGTGACATTCTTCAGTGAGCAGCTGGCTCTCAGCTCTACCAGACAAATGCTCCTGAAATAGGGCATTGATGCAAGGAATGCAGATGATCAGAGCCCATTACCACTGGGGAGCAATGGGATGGAGCGCACATCCTGGGGGGGCTGGCATGAAGGCCAAGTTCTCCTCTGCAGCCCAGACACGCAAAAGGAACCAGCTATGGGTGAGCTGTCCAGAGGTGGAGGGTTTGGCCAAACTATGAGCGAGGACTTGCTAGTTATGGAGGCTGGAATGGCAGTGGGATGGGTGAAGGGCAGAGCTGGAGGGGCCGGAGGGCTGGGACTCGGCCATGAAGGACGTCTCCAGCTTGCTCGTGAGCACAGTGGTCTGTGGGCCCGACTCCCCCATAAAAACTAGCTTGGGTGTTGAGTAGACGAAGGGGCCTTATTTATTTTGCACATGTGTTACCAGCAATGCGTCAGCTTATATAGCACACTCAGAGACTGAAAAACCCATGGAAACCGCAGAGACTAGAGGGTACCAGACAAGATCTTATCTGACTTATCTTATCTGCTCCCAGATATCTGATCTTATCTGGGAGCAGCTCCTTATCAAGGAAGAAGTCTGATTTGAGTCCAGGTAAAGTTTGTGAATATTACTCTGATGTTGATTAGATGTGGGCTTTGGCTAATTCCTTCATGACTCAGCCTTATATTCCACATCTGAAAAAGGGGCTGCCTCTACCATCCACCTCAGAGGATTGTTCCATGAAACAACTGGCACATGCAAAGCACCAGACACACAGGAGACACTCAACAAATACCAGTATCTCCCTGAGCTGGAGATGCGGCAGGGGACACCCAGGTGCACGGTGTGGGGGAGGGGGCAGATCACTGACTCGGAGGCAGGAGATCTGGGACCCCTTTCCACGAGCAGTTGGGTGTATCTTCTGTGATTTTAAAACATTATCCCTTGAGACTCAGGGGCTGGTTTGGGGCAAGGGAGGTGGGTAGGACTGAAGTGGTTGGGTCTTTGGGGACCCTAAGAGCAGTGATATTTTTTTTATCTGTTTCAAATACCAGGATTCCATTCAAACTTTATTTGAAAAAAGATTCTGAGTCTAAAGCAAACAAACCAGAATTTGAAAACTGCATAGGTAAACGATCCAGGAGCCCCCTTAATGCAGTGAGCACCTAGCATGGAACGTTGCTTCCTCATTGGTTAAAAGAGGGATTGGCTCAGTGTTCTCAATCTGTAGGCAAAAATGTGCAGGGGGAAGGTGTGTGGTAAATAACACTTTTCGTTACTGAGGGGAGAAATCGGGGTGCTATAGTATAGACTTGGAACTGAAGGACAATCTGGAGGACAGTAGGGGATGAGGGGCCTTGTGAGGCTTTTTTCCTGGGTGACCCATTTAGTGCTAATCAAGAAGGGTGTTCTGGGGTTCTCCTGAGTGCACAGGATGAGAGTCTTAGAGAGAGCTCAAGGGCGCCCAGTACAGCTCTGTGCAAACCCAGAATCTGTCTCCTTCCCTGGCTGCAGAAGCCACGCGCTGTGCAGGTGGTTTCGGGCCCTTACCTTCTTCAGCTCTTCTTGGACGCTCTGGCTGTTGTCTTCAGAGGACAAACATTCCTTCTGGGTCTCAGATTCTGTCTTAGGCTCGGACTCCTGATCCTCTCCTGAAGAAGTCTCCTTCTCACTCATTTTCCTTGCTAACTCATGCAACCTGTTTCTCAGTTTCTCCTCCATGGTGCCTGTGCCGGTCCGACAGTCCTGAGCTTCACTGCTGATGTCCATCTCTGATAAATCAGCCAACACCTAAACGAAAACCAGGGTCATGAGCTGAGGACCCTATAGTCACATTACGTGTTCTGAGTAAAGGACAGTCCAAGAAACTAGCAGCTCTCTTACCTGATCTGCTCTCTCTACATATGGGCTTTTACTTTCTCAAACACGAGCATCTTAATACTTTGTTAAAGGTTTCAAGCTCATGAACATCTGTACTCAGAAAAGCAAATCCGTTCAGTGTTTCTCTTTCACAAAATACTCACTGAGCTCCCACCTGGGACAGCACAGGGACAGTGCAGGTGATGCGAGGTGTGGCAAGGTTGGGTGGTACCCTCAGCCCCTAGTTATCCCTAATGGTCAGGGTGGCAAGTGCAGGGCAGGGGCATGGGGAGGGGAGACCTGCCAGCCCACTAAGGGGCATTTGCCGGGAGGGGCTGGGCATTAGGGAAGGTTTTCTTGTGGAAGTGACACTTTGCTTGAGGTTCAAACTGCAACAGGAGAGAGTGGGCAACGGGCAGATTTTGAAGTGGTACAAAGTCTGGAAACATGTGCAAGGAAGACTGTAACATTCTCATAATAATTGCCTCTCTGGCTCTTGCATGTCACCCAAGCTCCTTTCATGAGTAGATTCCAGACTGAGTCTGGGGAACTCCAGGACATAAGGGTTGTGATAAATTCTCAGCCTTGAGTTGACAGAAATGTATGAGATTTTAACAAGATAGTCTCAACATATCTATCATCAGGTCTACAAAGACCCAGTTATAATTTTTGAATTTTCTCTTTGAGTTGTTCTTTCTGTGTATAAAGCTTGATACGTCATGGCTTTTGTTTGCTCTAAATAAAAGGGCTTCCAAAGAACAAAGAGGTACTTATTTTTTAAATATAATAAAACTCATACTCTTTGTAATTACTATGTGGGTTTGTTGACCTTTTTCTAAATCTAAGATATATGATAGAATCTTGGTGATTTTATTTTTCCTATCTTTTGAAACATTTTGCTCTTTGATCATCCTGGGAATTATTTTTCATTATTCATCAATTATTCTCAATTATGCTAAAAGAGACCAAAATAATAAAACAGAAGAAAAGAATTGCCTAGAGGATGATTCAATAAATCATTGCCATTTTGAGTCTACTTTTAGCTTTCATTGTACACAACTGAGAATTCAGAAATTTTCATAATAGCAAAGAGAAGAAAACTGACAGAGAACAAAATTTCACAATTAGTAGGTGACTCATATGATGAATTAAAAAAAAGGAGAATAACTCTTTAAACTATAATAATGATCGCAAAATTGACTGTATAAGTAAAAGCTCAGAACGAGAGTCTTAAGATTCTAGGTAAATGTTCTCAAACTCAAGAATTGATGAGTAAACAATACATAAGAAAATAATAAAATACGGTATTTTCATTTAGTGTTTCATTCAAACTTTGTCACACTATTTTGCAACAAGGATTTGGACCATCCTGTTATGCTAAAAACAAACAAATAAAGCTGTGTGGAAGATTCTTCTACACCTTGTGATGTTCATACATCAGTTTTGCTGATAGTTTGTAACTGGACAAATGCTAAAGGCAGCTGTCTACACAAAGGTGTTTAGGATCAAAGAGATAACAGAGGTGGGGGTAAATCACTGGATTGATAAAAGAAAAAAGTTTCATTTTTCCAGGTCCTGAGCAGAGAAAAGCCCCAAGTTCAGCTTCACTGCATGGGGGCACAGCTGCTGCTGGCCTGTTTCTTCTGAGGACTCAGAAAATGTCTGTCTATGGTGCCCTAAGGCAGAAATTTGTCCTCTCCCAATGCATGGTGTTTAACCTAAAATTAGCTTCATTCAAATGCTGTATGTGCTCTGGTAAGCAAGATATTTATTTTTATTATAACTAGTATGAGAAAAGGAGTCCCCGCACCTTCCAAATATACAACAAATCATGGATCCACATAATGGGGTGGAAATGGCAGGTGTCACCTGGAACCTTATGGATTAGAAAATAATACATTTCTCCTGACCCAAGGAGAAGCCTTCCACATGCAGGGCCAGAGTGTCTCAGCTGGTACTATACAAGGATGGGAAAAGGGAACCAGTCCTTGGGGATGAATTTGCCATAGGAGCTGTGGAAACTTAGCCCCTGGATGTCTTTAGGAAGCCTTTAAAAATTTTTTTTCCTAGCTTTTATCATTACAAGTTTACAGTCCTGGTAGGCATTCCAGGGTATTTTCTGAATTGTTCATATTACACCATCACTTTAAAATCAAACAAACAAATCTTACTCTCACCTGGGACATATCTCCCTCTCCCAAAATAAAAAAAATTACTCTGACTGATGATGTCTGGCTGTAGTCTGCATCGTTTTTGCTTTAAAATTCCCTATCTGATAGAATTAGACCATGCCATTTGTTAAAAGGGCAGCCAGAATTATGGTAATCCGTCATAACCTATCTGGAAAATCACCAGCCTAGACTTCTCAAGTCAATGTTTACATGAAGAACAGGTATTTAAAGCACAATTATGTTCATATTGGTCACAAGTGGACCATTATTCTCTGGAGAAGTCTGATAGGAATAAAACAATCCTAACAAGTAGATTTCATCTTTGACTCTACATTGGAGTTGAGTGTAGACAAGTTCATAGCCCTTGGGGTTTTTTTTTTTTTTAAGATTTTATTTATTTATGCCTACAGAATTGGGGTACAGGTCAGAGATGCAGGGGTGGTGAGAGGATTCACCAGAGAGTGGGGAAGCAGAACAGACCAACTGATGAAGTATACTGCTGAGGGGAGCAGCAGGTGGGCCAGGAGAAGTCTGCTGAGCCATAAAGGTCACCTCAGGGGTAGGGATCAAAGCCACATGCTGAAGTGGCTTTAGCTTCTTAGTGCTTGTGCTTTAACCTGTTGCGCCACCAGGGAGGGCCCATACAGCTCTTGGATTTTGGTGGTGATTCAGAGCCTGGACCTAATGCCAGACTGAATGAGCAGGAAGTTGGGGGGGGGGGCAGTCAAGTGAAGTCAGCAGTCTGGTGGGTGGGCACACCCAGGGGTGTTCCAGATCCCCTTTCTTTTTATTCATTGGCTCCTAATGACTTCTTAATGATTTATTCTGTTTTTGTTTTGTTCTGTGAACTGGTTTCCTGCCAAAAGAGCCCAACAGTTTCTTCATAGAGTTGATGTGGTCTTGTTGCCACCAATAAAAAAAGGCTTTCAATTGGTAGGTAGCTCTGTCATTGAATCTGTCTAAAAGAACAATTTCAATTTAACTGTAAAATTAAAGTCATCCCTTTTGGAGAATGATCCATTTTTCTGTTTTTTTTTTTTTTTTCCAGTTTGACTTAAAGTTTCTTTTCTTTTCTTTTTTATGGAGGGCATATTAGTTCAAAACACTGTAACAGGTTTCAAGTATACAAGTTCTCATGAGTATATACCTCACACCACACCTACTACCAAATGTGGCAGATGAACCTCAAGACCCATGAGATTGCTGGTTAGCAATCCTACACAGCAGATCTGCAGGCTCAGGGAGGTTCCAGCTCTCCAGATCCCTGGCACTGAATGAAAAATTTGAGCACTGGTGTTTATGAAGGTCCTCCCCACTTCCTTTATCTCCTTCCCCTTGGAGAGAGGATGGCATTTATCAGTCTCAAAAGGGTCTATGATGCAAAAATGTTGAAGAAGCACTGGTTTTCTGCAAATACATTAATTGCTTTTTGGCCCTGTTCTCTGCAACCAGTTCATCTTGGAGGACCACCCAGCAATTTTCATTGATAAGGAGGACACTTGGCAGGCATGCGACTGGGCTTTCCCTTCTAACAGGGAGATCCTGACCACACCAGGTCATCTGTGCATGTGGTTAGGCTGTGGAGATAGGAATGGGGCAAGGGCCTGTGTCAGTGACAGCAAGTTCACTTCAGCCATATTGTCTGTCTTTAAGTTTTCACTTAAGAAAAGGTGCTGTGTCAAAAGGAATGCGAAAAATCAATAGTAAAGAAAGCAGTGGTGTGTGGGGGGAATTGTCACCCTTGGTCTGTGCGTTGAAGGAAATTCAAATGCCATGTGAGTAGATTTAAGGGCTTACTGGGGGATGTTCTCTTGGCATACCTTGAAGGTAGGTGTACCTGTTGGGTGTCCCAATGTTCGGGGTAGGGGTCTGTCATACATCCCCACCTTGCACAGTCCTGTGAGCACGTCAGAGGGCAACACCCTCGATTCAGAATTGCACAACACTCAGGAGTCAGGGGGTGGGAGGCACCAACCACCCCTCTACCCCCCTAAGTTAATACTGAAGCAATCCTGACCAGCAGGACCTGAGCCCTTTGGCCCTTCAACATCCTGACTGGACTGAACTCTGCTTCCATGATGTGGTGCTCCTCGCTGAGCAACAGTGAGAAGCAGCCTCCACTGTGTGATCACTGAAGCAGTTCACTGTGGAGGGTGATGTATTCTGCTTTCTCTCCACAAGGATCCACTGGATTAATTTCTCTTGGGTCTCGGCTCCAGGCGCAGCAGTCTTTAAAGAATGAATTGATCATTCTCTGTGTCAGAAAAATACTCCTATCATTCTGTTTCTGTTGTCTCTGAGAAAGCTCAGAGACAGTGTTTTGCAATCTACAGCCCAGGATTTGGAACTCGTTGCTTCCACTTAGTAAACGAACATCACTCCTGGCTTCATTTTATCTTTCCTATCCCTATTGTTCCTCTGTCTTACTTTCCTTATTATAATTTCATTTTATTTTTCTGTGTTCATCTTTCTGTAAACCGCTTTAATTTGTCTTTGGAGCAAGGCACAAACATATCCAATAAAGGGGTACTTCTAGATTGTTAGTTACAAAGACTGGTAGCTCCTCAATATGCTAGGATTTAAATGGCTGAAGAATAACTAGCAACTAACATGCTAGACACTGATAAGCATAACAAAATAAGAAAAAGTCATAGAGAACTAAAATAGCAGCCTCCTGCAATTCTGAAGTTCCAATCAACGAAAAAGTAATTAGCAGGTTTGCATTTTAAAATGGTATCTGGCAAACATCTCTACAACCTC